GCTCAATTGTAACTTCGATATGATTGGTTACATTTTTTTTCGGTCGATCCAGTCCGATCTAGAAATGAACAGGGCTAGTATAATAAAATATAGTTTATATAGTTATTTCAAAAATATTGTAGAATTGTGCAAATAAAATAGGGTTGCATTTCACGTGATTAAATATAACATGATGGCCAAATTTATATTTAAAAATATAAAATTTGTAATGAATTTCAAGTTTTAAATGAAAGAATTTTTGTTTATATTAAATTTTTTTTTTTTTGCATTGTCTTACATTTAGTTTATTGAAGTTTCCAACTTTAATTCAGATCGACAGCAGATTTGCATTTTGCCGATCACGATAATCAATCACGTTATACACTAAGTTTTAAATTTAAAAATAAAATTTTTTTTTATATACACAAAAAATTTTGATCACTTGCACAGAAAATATTTTCGTAATGAAAATACTGTTTCCTCTTTTTGCAATAGGACAGAAATATTTACATATTGAGTTTCGATCATGAGAGGTCTTTTAACCTCTGATTTTAATAATTAAGAAAAACGAAAATACAAATAAAACTTAATCAATGGTTCGAAAAGAGAAACTATCGAAGAAATGAAGAAATTTAATCAATTCTTCGAAATATAAGATAATGCCAGTCTTCATTCATTCATTATTACAAATATTAAATTACAAAGCATTTCACAAAATCATATATCTTTATTTTAATTCTTTGTTAATTCAAAAATAGAATAATTATTATTTTTTTATTTTTTTGCAAATAAACAATGATGGCGTAAACCGAATTCAAAAAGTAAAACTGAATATGATTGTTTTTAGAATATTTTGATGCTAAAAAAAGATATGCATGCAGGACCCGAGCTATATACAGGTTGGGCGTGGACGAAAAAATTCAGGGCCAGTATTACGAAGACATTATCAGGAAAAGATCTACTTTGGTCCGACCATTTTTATTTATGTCGGTCATGATCATTTTTGCATTACATGCATTCTGTGATACTTTTGAACCATGTTTCCACACTTTATGTACTGTACATTAACGGAAAAACCAATTCAATTTTAATTTTCATAAAGGAGTTTTAATTCCTCAAAGTCGTGATTGTGCAACGTATCGAAAGAAATAAATATCGCCATCCTTTTACCTTCACTCTTCACAAATTTTCTCTTGAATTTCTTGATATAAAAAAGCTTTAAAACAAATAACTTCTGCTATCTTATAGTGAATTGAAATCATTTTGATTAGCTAAAACTACATTTCATGCAATACCGCCCCACATAAATCGACAAAAACGATGTCAACGAAGAAACCGGAAGAAACTAAAAATAAAAATCATACAACTTCTAATAAAGACCATGATAAAAATAGATATCAAATTTCCATTAGTCGGGATGGAAAATATGCTGTTACTTTCGATGCAGGTAAGCTTCTTTTGTAGTAATTTTTCCTGCAACTATTAAAAAAAAAATTTCTCATCCTTTTTTATTGTAAATTTAGCAACCCTTCAGGTTAAAATTTTAAAAAATACCGATTATCGCGAATTTAATTCCTCCGAGAAAAAAACGAACATCGAAAGTTCTGAACAGAATGAATCCAATGAAAACAATGAAAAGTCTGAAATCAATGAAACTATTGCTCACTTTAAAATTAATAATGATTTATCTATCAAAGCGTTTTACGATCATCACCCGTCATCCGAAAATCCGAATTACGTCTATGATAAATGGTCGATCGATATATCCAATGATGACGAAAATTTTATTTTTATAGCAGCATCTCGAATAGATGAAAATTTTATGAAAGAAACGGAAAAGGTTAAAATGGTTCCAAAAACTTTCAATAAGGGAGATATTCATATAAATTTAACGAAACCTTCAACAGATTTTAGAACTGTTATTTATTGTCTTAAATTAAAAAATGGCACGAAATCTTCTTACAATAAAGATGATATTATTAAATATAATTATAATAGATTATCGGGAATTTGTAAATTTGGGGTAGCTATGAAGATTAGAGATGATGTTAAATCAGATTACATTTTAAAAGAATTTATTTTATTGAACTCTAATGGTATATATAGCTTTAAATATAATGAGACAAACAAAACTTTTAATGAAGTAGAACGCTTTAATTATCCAGAAGTGATCACAAATGAATTAGAAGTTTCACAGGATCACATGAATTTATTCTTGTCACACCTCAATAAACAATATTTTTTGGTGGTTGATGACGACAAAAAAGTTCATGAAGGTAAAATAACTATAATATTTTATCATAATTTTTTATATAAGTCTTTTTTATATTTGAAATTGTAGTAACAAATTTATATTGCAGTTCATGATCTGACAGATATGAAATTAGAAACCAGTTTTAAATCCATTTATAACGATAAGTGCAATACGTACAACCGGTACAATAATCAATATTACAAAGAAGTTTATTCGATCGATAAACAAAAATTACAATTTTGCTTTGCACTAGGACCTCAAACAATTGGGTGAGTTATTACGTGATATTATTGCATATCGGAAAAGAATAAATTTTTAACACGTCATATTTAAATAGGATATACCTCATGGAACATGGATTGGAAATCGCAATTAAAACATTTGAAAATATCAATATCCAATTAATTGAATTCATCAACAGCGATGAGAAGTTGCTTGTGATTGGTAGTGATACTAAAAATGATAAACTTATGATTCTAATCTGGGATGTGTATGATACTGATAAGGTTGAAACAATGCAATTAGAATATCTTACGACGCAAAATCTTAATACTTGCTTAGCTAGTACCTCTGGAAATCTTTTGCAAGTTGATGATGAAGGGAATGTAACATCAATTCTTAAGATGATTGAGCTAAAAGCAAAGAATAAACATGACAATGGTAATTCAAATAGTTTACCTTTGCAAGAATATATTCCAGGATCTGAAGATTTAACATCATTATCCAAATTAAAAAATCACACAACATGCTTTTATGCCAACGAAAATGAATATAATAATTTCGAGCCAATAATTATAGAAACAGAACCTTGGATAACAATAGAATATGAAAAATTTGCTTTTTATCTTTGTCATAATAAGTTAGAATGTTTACAACTCATCGTAGGCACGTCTACCATTCAAATTTGGCATCAAGTCTGTGATAAAAAGGAAGAGAGAAATCTTCCTAATGATGGAAGACCGTTTCTTGAATTTATTTGGACAAATGGAATTCCATCTAATCAAGAAAATGAAGATCACAAATTACGTATTACAAGTGTTCGATTTGGTTCGAAATATTTTCGCTTAGAGGTTTATTGGTATGAAGGTTCATATGCGATAGATATGACTGAGATGGAAATTAAGCAAAAAATGAAAAATAAGGAAGAAATAGATGGAATGATGATCAAAGAAAAAATAATTGAATGGAGTGATATAAATGAAGGAGTGAATGGAATAAGATACGCTTGTGAGGCATTAGAATTTCTTAACCTTCGTGTCAAATCTTTTACAAGTTATGATAAGATACATAAAGTAAGTTGATTTTAGAATTATATATTTTTTTTAATTGTAATTAATTAACAAGTTTTATTTTGCAATATAAAGAAAAATGAAATGGTCAAGTATATTAATCACATAGTCTGGAGATTTACTGCAAATAAACCACAACGGTATAGATTACTAGATATTCGTTATCATGTTATGAAGAATTTAATTCTTGGTGATTGCAATCATTTGATCCATTACCTCTTATTTGGATTCGACATGGATCTATATATACCAAAAAGTAAATTTTGGAATGATGAATGTAAATATATAATAGTTGATAAAAATAATCACGTAACTTCAAAAAATGATAACGATAATTGCAAAGGTAAACCTAACATATTAGCGTTACGAAATATTTGTTGATAAAGTAATAATATTTTTTTATTGCAGAGTCCAAGAATCCAAGCGCGTGTATGATTGTCGCAATATTAAATTGTAGAGGTAAATAAAATTTCAACATGAACATATTTTCATTACACGATATTTTAAAAAAATATATTTTTTATTTATTTGCAGGTCGGAATGAACTTAAATATCCAACAACAGATGTGAATTTAGCAATTTACCATTGCAGAGGTAAGCCTAATTTACTAGCATTACACAAATTACTTTGCCGATAGATTAAAAAAAATATTTTATTTACTCGCTCGAAGATCGTAAACCAAAAGATACGATTATTGTTACATATATTTTGGAATATTATTTAATATATGCATATGATTTTGATAATTTGCTAAGAACAGTTTCTGATGCATATATTTTATTGAACATATTAAAATATGGTATGATTTATTTGTAATCAATTTTAATTTGAATCGATCTATTTCATTGATAACGTTTATTCATAATATAGAAGAGTATACTAGAATGTTAAAAAATGAATGGCACACATTTGAGAAGTACTCCTCTAAGGATCCAATTAATAATAAATCTATGTCGGGACTATTTAAACTTTTTAAAACCAAATTAAAATCACCTGGGGATGACACCAAGCGTTCCAGGTTCACCAAGTTTCAACGGCACTCTGACTATACATTAATACTTAAACATATTCTATTGTTTATATTTATACCACGATGGTATAAAACGAACCGAGACAAGTCAAAAATAATTCCATATGTAGATATTGATGATATGTTTGATCTCCCGATTATCGAAAAAACTATTAATAATCGTTGGCCTAGTGCAAATATTTGCTTTTTCTTTCTTTTTCTTCGATTTATTACATTCGGATTTTGTTTTATGATTATTAGTTCAGTATATATTGGTTGTATCCCTGCCAAGGGACTTCAATATTATTTATTTTTGTTAATTGGTGTATTCTATTATTTAGCAATTTATCTATTTATTACTGAATTAATGCAACTAACTCATCATGGATGCAAAAAATATTTGAGCATAATATTTAATTGGTTTGATCTACTTTCAATTGCAATGCCTGTGGTAGTAATGACAAAATTGCTTATTTATACTGCTAAATCTTCGAATGAATTTGGAAGCATTGAAGCAAAAGACTCTCAATTAATATTGGAAATATCTTATTCAATTTTAATAATTTGGATTGAATTTGTAAGTTTTTCAAATAATTTTAATTTTATTCAATTAATTTGTAAATAACCGTTTTTTTAAAAAAACTTTAGATTTTATATTTCCGATTGATACCAAGTAATACAAAATATCAAAATTAAAATAAATTTCATGATAACAAAGTATTAATTATATTTTTTTTAAATAGGAATTTCGTTTTACATTTATTGCGTTATAAACATCTGCAAAAAAATTTATCCCTTTCTCATATTTTTCTTTATTATACTTTTTGCAATCGCACATACGATGTAAGCCCGTTTCTTAAGTCAATCAATTTTTTATAACTTGTTATATTTTAATAATTAATATTTATCATGTAAATTTGTTTCATGTAGGTTTGTATTATTAAGGAGTCTAGATAATGATATTCAAACAAAAGATTCTACATTAGACGGTGTTACTACAAATTCATCCGATGATAATCCATTCTCTTCCTTTACTACTTCATTAATCGCTGCATATTATTGGACTAATGGTAATTTTGTTCAAAGGGAACGGTATAATTCATTATCTGTTGAAGTATTTACTATAATTATTAGCATTTTGGTTGTAATAATTTTGCAGAATATGCTGATTGCTATTATGGGGTATGATTTGTTTGGTTTTATCCTTCATACGATTCCAGTTATAATTCTATTTTAATACTTCTTTTTTTTTGTTTTTTAAGTAATGTTTATGAAAGCGCAGCGGCTAAAAGTAAGCAAGCGGTATTAAAATATAAAGCAATAGAGATATCAGATTATGATGATTTACAACATCGCTTTGATTTTTGGTATCATGATCCAGAATTTATTCCTTCTAAAAAACGTGTCAAAAATTTTAAAAATGACATTCATCAAGATAAATATATATCAGAATTTGCAAAAGAACTAGATTACGATCGACATTCAATTTGGCAATTTTAAAAAATTAAAAAATGAGGCGAGGGAGTAGGTAATCTGATTTTATTTTTCAAGTAAAAATATTATTTGTATTTCGTCCCGCCATATTGTATTTCTGTAATCTGTTGAAGTTTCTGTTAAATAAAAGGAAATAATTTAATTAATACGTAAAATTTGAAATTTCAAGCCTTTTTTTTTTAAAAAAAAATGTTTTGTTAAAAATAATAATAAAATGAACAAAGCAAAGTATAAATTATGAAAATTTCAGTTAAGCAATTAAATGTATAATTAATTACACGGCCGTATATGATTATTATACTTTGAACGTGGAGTAATTTGTCACGGAGTGACGTTTATTTAAACTATGGTCGTGATATTACAATATAAGCTATTAATTATATAAAGTTTACTTTAAAAATATCATATTATCCTATTTACTATTATTTTTATTATAAATAAAAATTTATATGTAAGAAAGCAGTTAAATGTAAAAGTTTTAACATATATATATAATGTGCATAGCGGTTTAAAATTTTCTAAACGAAATTAAACATTGAGATGATTTGATCAATAAATTAGAACGAAATTGCATTTACTAAAGTATTCATTAAAATTCATCCTGTTGTTTCTTCCGGATTGCTTTTTTATATAAATTGATTTACTAACATTTGCGCGCGAGTGAATTGCATAACATTAATTTTTTTTTGCTTTGAAAGATTGATAATTTTTTAATTTTTTAACTTAAGTGTTTTGTTTGACTTTAACTTAATAGTAATTTTAGATAAATATTGTAAAAGAAGATAAAACAAATGATAGTAAAAATAAAATTAAGAAATAAAAATATTTATAATAATCAGAGGCCGAATAATTATTCCGTAACTTCACGGGTAATCGGCGGTTACCCGTAAAGTTACTACACGAACAATATTTTAAACTTTAGTGAACAAATCCCTCTTTTTCCTCTAGAGTGGAATATCTCCATTCCAAATATTCTTGCAAGGTTCTAACTCGGAACTCATGCTCGTTATTGTTTCTTACCATATTATATTTAGGCACTAATTTTTATAAGTGTATCCCTTCCTTGGTTTTGTTTCAGAATTGCGTTCTATATTTCCGTTGGCTCTAAATTATATGTAGAGAAGGGAGGATCTAGACATATTTATTAATTAGATCGGACTAATATGGTTAACGGAAGGTAGAATATAAAATCTATTGAGTATTCATGTACAAACAAAAAATTAATTTCGATCCAATGTAATTTATTTAAATTGCAAAAAATAAAATCTTAATTCAATACATAATTTTCCTTAATTTTCTCCAAGAAAAATTATTTTAAAAATTATAAAATCATGTTTGTTTGCTATGTCTCGTGACTAAAGATATATTGAATTAAAAATTGTAAAATGGTTTTATTTATTTCTATTGCATGGTATGAAAAATAAAAAATCCAACGTACCATGTTTTCTCTCCCTTTCTCCTTCAAAATAATTTATTCGAACATTTTTTCTTTTAAGCATAAAAAATTTAACGAGAAATAGCGAATCATATGACAACGCTCGCCATACGTCATCGATACTTAATAATTTATCCAAATTTTAAAAAAGAAATATTCTTCACTATAATCAGTTGATCATTTCAAATATATCTTTTTTACAGATTTTTACGTATTCCTTTTCTTCCTACGAATTCAATGATCAGTTATGCTGTATAAGTTTATATTTCATATTAGATATCATTATGTATGATTTTAAGCATGTGTTGTTGTTTCCCTTCCATAACTTGTTTTTCTTTCATAATTAGTCTATTATTTTTATCAAAAGTTTAGTAAGTTTAGTTAGTAGTCAGTTCAGTCGATTAGTCGGGTCATTTAATAATTTAGTCTGTCTGTTTCAAATAATTCACCGCAGCAAATTCTTATGTTATTATTAGAACTATATTTAAAGTTTGAGCTAGTTAAATATGTTGAATCTATTAACAAGGCGTTTTCTAAGGTTTAAAATATATTATTACATGAAAAGCGATTTTATAGAAGAATTTTAAGAAGCCCCCTTCCCTAAAAATGAATATTTAAATATTTGATTTAAAAATTAAATAATTTTCATGTATTTCATTGCCTTCGTATTCAAGAAAATAGAATTAATATAAATTTAATGTTTTCAAGGTAATGTTTTTTCGGGCCTTTGACATCGGGATCTTGTGCCTTTTAGATTTAGAGCTTCGTAACCAATAATTATAAATCACGCTAATAATAAATAAATATAAAGTAAATTATGAAACTAATTTACTTATAAAAAACAAACAGATGGTTTCAAAATTGTATTATTTATCGTTTATAGGATAATCGGAGCATTATTATGGAGTTGCAGTGACCATTGACAGTTAAGATAGCGTTAACGTAATAAAACTATATTTCTCGTAAAAATTAAATCTTTGGAGGTATATTCCGGGGGGAGAATAGTCAAAGATTTAGATAATTGTGTAAATTTTCATTAGTAAATTAGCTATATTTTTAATTACATCTTAACTATCTATTTTGCTTAAATAAAATATTTTGTTCATTTTTATTTAATTATTGTAAGTAGAATCGAAATTTAAAAACACTAGTTTGTTAGCAATTTGTGATTATGAGAAACAAGAAATCACATAACAGTAAGGTGACTTCCTACATTATTTAAGATTTTTGAATTGCCGAACCAATTTTAGCATATTAGTCCTCACTTAAATATAAGTCTTGTAACAACTATTCGCAAATAATTAAAAAAACGAAGTTCAGATTTGACAAATCAAGAAAATTTTTAAAAAAAGTGCCGCGTGTGTGGCTGTTAATTTGTAGTGATTAAAGATTTTATCCGGTTTCAACTAGAATTGTTCTACCGATATGGAGTTTCGGTAGTTAAAATAATTAAATTTGGGCTAGTTATAAAAGTTATAGAGCTTGGCCAAATTTAATATTTACCGCAGTATTCGATCATTTGATTTGTGTTCGGAAAATATTTTCCGTTGTTCCAAATTTGGTCATGATAATTCCTTTTATATCCTATTTCAAATTACAAAAATTTTTTTTCTTTTTTTTAAAAAAAAAAAAAAAATAATGAATGTAAATAGCCATGAAAATGAAGTTCAAGACCTAATCGAATCTGAATTCAGCAAATTAGATGTCTCAGAAAATAATAAATGTTCTTATTGTGATAAACCATTTACAGAGAGATTATGGTGTAAAGAATGTGACCCTGGGTGTATAATTGAAGGATGGACTAGTGGAAATTCTGATATTGATAAATTCATCAAAGATACTATGTATAATGCATGACAAGAAGAATATCCAAGATTTCTTGAATGGGTGTTTCTTGATAGATTCACAGATATAAAAGAAATTGGTGAAGGAGGATTCGCCAAAGTGTATTCGGCAACATGGATTGATGGTGTATCGGAATTTGGAAAGCATGATGGAAGTTGGAAAAAATTAGGTCCTAAACCTAAGAAGGTTGCTTTGAAAAGGTTAAATGGATCACAAAATATGTCAGCCAATTATTTTAATGAGGTATTACATTTACATTTAATATTTATTAAATAGAATATTTCTAATTTTCTTAATTTCTTAATAAATCAGCTTAAAGCACATTGGGATATTTATAAAAAAGAAAATACCTCATTAGATTTTTATGGAATAACTAAGGATCCAGAAACCAAAGAATTTATTATGATCGTGAAATTTTTGCCTGATGGAAATTTGAGAAGTTTTCTTTCAAAAAATTTTAAAAATATTTTATGGAAAGAAAAAATTGGAAATTTATGTAATATTACTATGGACCTTACTAATTTACAAAAATTAGGATATTGTCATAAGGATTTTCATAGTGGAAATATATTGCAAGATGATCAACAAGCAGCTTCTTACGTTTCAGATTTTGGATTAACAGGACCAGCAGATAAGCAAAATTCTAATGACAAAATATATGGAGTATTACCATATATCGCTTCAGAAGTCTTAAATGGGAAATCATATACCTTAGCTTCTGACATCTACAGTTTTGGTGTAATTATGGCTGAATTATCAACTGGAAACCCTCCCTTTTATGATCGAAGACATGATATGTCTTTAGCATTAGATGTTTGTAATGGACTCCGTCCAGAATTTGGAAATGGAACTCCTGAATTTTATAAGAAATTAGCTTATAGGTGTATGAATGCAAATCCAAATCAACGACCTACAGCCTATGAATTAAGTTGTATATTAATATTTTGGTATGATTCTATTAACGATAAGTATAAACATACTAAAGAATATGGATATTATGGAAAAGAAATAAAAGAAGCATTTAAAGAAGCTGATAAAGATATACCAAATATTTCAATTTCACGCAAAAATAATCCTGACGCTGTTTATACAAGTAGAGCATTTGCGTTTAAAAATCTGACAAAACCTATTAATTCGTCTCTTATTACTCCATATCTTGAAAAGGATAATAATGAAGGTATTATCTATATTTCATTTTCGATTATAAAAAGACATATACTAACTTTAATGCATTTTAATATTTCAAGATTCTCAATTACATGAATTAGAAATTCCTAGCTCATTTCAATTAAAAGGTAATTTAATATATTAGGATGACGTCAATAATTGAATATTTTGATGTTTCCGGTATTATTTGTATTTGCTCATGAGAAAGTTTATAAGTGTTTACTCAGATTAATCAATTATATCATCATAACTTTTGGTTAAGGAAATCTGATAACCTATATATTAATGTTAAAATATTTTTATTGAGATGATTCTTTTCTACATATAATCTTTTTCGATTATTAATATTCTTAACAATTCTCGTAGTATTAATTTTAAAGTTTATCTTTAGAAATTTCTCAATATTTAGATACATCAGATGATGTAAAGTTATTTTTAAATAATTTATACGGATCTGTTTATAAAATACGTATATTTTCTAGAATGGAATGTTAATGATACTACTAAAATTATTAATTGTGACTAAGCTAATATTTAACTGTGTGATCCATTACTTGAGTTTTGATCAAGTTACAAGGTTAAAGATCATTATGTCAAACATAATAGTGATGAGAAATTCATAGATCAATTGTCGTAGCATTGCGTTATAATATAATTTCTTTTGATATTAGATTTGGACAAGATAAATTAATTTATATATCAAAAATTCATTTCAATATTTCCTGAAGATATGCCAAAGGAAAAAAAAGACGAAAGTATTTTCTATGGTACAAAGTGATCAAACCTAAATCATAGAAATAATATTTAAACCAAAACTAAATAACTATTACATATTTACTGTGCTTAATTCGTAATATGTCGGAAGTTTTGCAGAACTCCGGTAATAATATTTTTTTTTATGGCCTTTTGCACCTTTTATTCTTAGGGAGTTAATCTGATAGGATAGAAAGTTGGTTACAATATTGTTGAAGAAGGTGATGTAATATCTTCACGCATACAAACGCTAATCAAAATTTGGCCATAACTAAATTTAATGAGCCATCAATATCATCGCAAAGTTTAAGTTCATTCAAACTCTTTCCATTGATTTCCAAGAATTGATTAGGTATTCGTCATCTGGACATTCAACTTCAAATTTTAAAATCTGCAATTGCGGAAAGGTAGCATATTGAAATCTTTTAAACCCCCTTCTACGATAAATAATGGTATGAGTGATATGTGTGAAAATGGTGTACCAAAATGTACTCCATTAATGTATAATTTGGTTAATGCTATATAATGAAATATTGGGGGTCTTGAAGATGGTGTCGATTTTATAACTCCGTTCTCAGATAAAATTGTTTTTGATTGATTAGGAAGAAAATTGAGCAAAGTGTTAAAATTTTGAATGTTTCTCCCGCATAAATTCGAACTGATATTTCACAAAGTTAGATTACATTTTGAAAGATAAAGGAAAAAAAAAATGTAAGTGGAAAGTAATACGTTTAAATGAGAATAGATTTTTTTTTATTTTATAAAAAATAAAAACTATTTTCGGAAGAATTACTGCGCTAATAAGCGGCGTAAGACTTCAAAATAATTTTCAAATATATTTGTCGAATAATGTCAGATAAGATCTGGAAATAAATTTGAATTGGAAGAATATTTTGGGGAATTTCATTTCTATTCTAAAGTTTAATAATGAATATTGAATATTAAGTTATTTACGATAATATTAAGTGTTGCTTTAAAAAACACTTGAAATTTAGATTATTTAATCTTTACTTAAATGATTTGTAAATTTGATTATTTAAAGTACTTAATTATACTATTCATTTTCTTTTCACGTAAACAATGGGTTACAGTATTTAACGTTACACATTCGGAAACAAATTTTAATCTTTATTTATTCTCCATTTAATTTCTGTAACTAGCAAAAACTGGTATTTTAGAATTTTTAAGAGAATATTTTTATTTAATTATAGAGTTCTATGGAAAAACACTTCGTCATAAGTTCATAAGTACAAGGTAATGTAAGAAAACAAATAGGAAATCATTAACGCCGCCAAAGTCGCTACTTCATGGCTCTCTTCAGGAATAATATCTATTTAATAAGAGATTAGCATTAAAATGTTTTCAAATTTCATCAGATAACTATCCATTATATTCCAATTGAAATTTTTGATAATTAATTATATCTTTCTTATGACTCCTTACAGTAATACTTGAAATTGATTAATCAGTATTCATGGTTTGGTCTAAGTTTAATATAGCAAAATAGTAAAAGGAAGAGAATAAAGTATCAATGATAATATATATAATTGTCACCTTCACTTAAAAATTTTCTTGAGATTCACATGTTACTTTTAACAACGTCCTCGATCGATAAATCCCATATAGTAACGTAATTGTAAACCTATATACACAAGATACATGTAACTCCTTAAATATTTTATTAAAAGGAATGCTATTATGTGTTCCTCTTAACGTTGGTGTCCATAAGATTATAGAAACTTGAAGTTATCATATTATAAAAGTCTGTTCACACCTGCAGATTTGTCTTTTATAAATCCATTTATTTGAAAAATAGTCCGTCTCTAATTTGATTTTATTTTTAAAACATCACTACTGTTGCACGCAGTTCGAAACGTTTATTGGTTATAAACAATAGAAAAGGTAAGCAGAAGGTTTCTTTATTGAAATGAATTAAATTTATTTATTAACAACAAGAGAAATCTAACATAAATCTACGTAAATACGATCAGATACGCAATTTATTATATATTTTCGTTATCGTTACAAATGAAAGGAAAGGGGATATATGCTAATTTTGTCTATCGTTTTTATCTAGGGAATATATGGAACACTTGATATGTTTTACTCAAGCGAAATCCCACCTCTTTTAGACTTAAAACCCAGCAAGGACTAGATGGGATATTGGCCAGGAGACAAATTGACCTGCAGACAAGTTGGCCAGTGGACAATTGGGCCATCGATCTACAAAATTCTAACTAAATACTAACAAAACTTAAATTTAAACTAAACAGAAATGGGACACAATGCTCTGGAACTAATAGAACACGATAGAACAATTATATTTCTTTGTAACACTACTCAAGAAATTTTGTTGATTTCAATAAATCAAGATATCGATGGCATAAATCTTATTAAAGTGGAACGTGCTTTATTAATTTATAGTTCTTTAAAATCATTACTACAACCAAAAATTACAAAACATAATTTTATAAAAATTATATATTTTAATTTTCGATATAGTATTAAAACTATACGACAGAAGAAAATTTTATAGTGAATTTTCAACATTTCATCATCTCTGTTACATCATTAAGTTAATAGTTATAAAAATAATTTTGTTTAAAAATCAAATATTGTTAAAAATTGAAAGCTAAAAGCAGTGACCAATATATTGTATAAAACGTATATATTTGTTCTTCTGATTTAACTATAAACAAAGTACAGTTAGACAAAAGTTTAGCTCAACAAATTATATTTTATGATAATTTATAATATTGGAAATTAAAAAATTTGTTTCATAAATTTATTTAGATTATCAATTTAAATCATATAGGTTGTTGCTATTAATTTGTTACTAGACATAGTACATAAGATCCGAAACAAGCTACTAATTGCAAGCCTCCCATATATTTATTTAAGAATTTATTATATATTTTTTCTAAAAAAAATAAAGAATTATAAAATTTAACACATTATAATCATATTTTATTCATATCGCTTTATTAATTTCTAATTCAATTTCTAATTTATAATACAAGATAAGTAAAGATTAAGTTGTAAAAAAAAACCAACATCATTTAAATAATCGAATCGATATACTAAATTATATAAATTATATAATATCAAGAATCCTTTGGGATGATCCAGAAACAGATTATTTAGTAGAGGAGAGGAGACGAAAAAATCATGAGTATTATTGGAAACAATAAAAAAAATAGTATATCGTTCTTAGGGAACGATATTATTAATTCTTAAAACTTAATTTTGGCAAAACATCACCCTTAGAATAATTAAAAAATATAATAAAAATTATACCGCTCACCAATATGAGCAGAAGTAAAGAAATTTATCTCAAAATCAGAGTTACCACCCTTTCTACTGCAAAATGCTCATTAGTAAAAAATAACACAATTATGCAAATATTTTACCATCTAGTTTTTCAATCTTTATAAATATTAATTTGTTTTATACCTCTTAATATGCTCTAAAAAAATAAAAAAAAAAAAATTTCATCCAAATAGAATACTAAATACTAAGATAACTGTAAAAATGAATAGTAAATTATTATTTATAAATCATACTTATAAAGAAATATTGTAATACCTAATAGGACTTATCCTTCCTCTAACTGATTTCTGGCCTCTAAAACGAATCTATTCTTTTTTATTTTCAATTATTATAAATAATAAAATCTTTTAAAAATAATTTTATATTTATAAATTGTTTCTTATTAAGATTAATTCCAATTTTGGCATTACTAAAGGTGTTTTAAGATCACTATAACTTTAATCTCATAAAAAAGGAATGGCTATTCTATAAAATTATATCATAAAATTAACATTAATTATATTATAGCAAAATTATATTTGTATTTTTTTTTTTAATAATCATCTATTATACCAAATATTTAATTATAGTAATAATGAATTTTCTTATAACAAGGGTCAAATTAGCCCAAATGCCAACTTTATAATATTGAGAAATAATTATAATAGATTTAATTTAATGATTTTAAATGTAGCTACCATCAAAAATCTTTATGATATGTAATGTAAGAACTGATGACCAACATTATTAATATAAAAAATTTAATACAAATATATAAAGATATGAGTAAATTTAAATTACTATTAGAATTAGTAATTATTTGCTTTAAAACGACAATAACGTAAAGGAAGTTATTTAGATGCTACGGTCGATAGGTTCATGCAGATCGGTATGATCTTTCAAATTATGAACGTACCGTACTTATTCTAAAATATTATTTAGACCAGTACGGTACATTTTTATATATTTGGAAAACTACCGTACTGAACTGATCAGACGAATCGTACTTATTTTCTTCCCATGACTACTTTATTATTATTATCGTTGAATCACAAAAAAAACATTTCTATAAGGTTTGACTGTGCCATAAATCGATCGGCAAGTTGGGAGTTCGCATTTACAGTATATTTACCTTGTACGTACCAATTTAAAACATTAACCTTTGTTTTATTGCTACAAATTATTTATATATATTTAGAAAAACAATAAATATCAACTATATAGTTTACTAATTAGAATAAATTCGCACCAATTAAAACTACAATCTAAAAAGTTGTTATTATTTTTTGTTAAATTAAAACAGAGAACGTTACAAATTGTGATACAATTAATCTAACTTGCACCAAATAAAAAAAAAAGTCGAATTATATTTAAAATGTTTTACTATATATTTTTTTTTTAAAATTAACAAGAACGCATAATTTAAAAATTCGAATAAATTATTTCCAGATATAAATAGGCAGAATTTATCTAAAAAATACGGAAACCCTTTTCCTTTGACTCATTTTTATAATATTGTATTTCTGAACTTAAACTCTTCAAAAAGTATATTTTAATATTATGAATTATTTAACTTTTGCAAAATGTTTTGATTGTGGAAACGAAATAAAATTGCAAAATGGTGTAATGATTATGAGTCCGAAGCCTTTAAAGAAAAGTTTTAAGAATTAGACTAGTGGAAATCCTAATCTTGATAATTTTATTAAAAATACCCAGTTAAATGCAACCGAAAATGGTATAACATAGAATACATTAATTTTGATCAATTTGAATTTGTCAATTATATAAAGACAACTGATTCATATAACACAATTTAACAATATGGATGGAAGGTCAACGAGAAATTTGGATATAGATGCTGAACTTAATAATTCACAAAATATTAGTGAAGAATATTATAATCAAGTAAGACCCAAATTTATAAAGATCAAAATTATTTATTAAATAATTTATTTATACAATTTTAAATTAGATATATATCGAAATTGCTTTAAAAATGGGATTTTAGCAAACTGCTACGGTGTAACCAAAATCCTACTTCAAATTATATGTTCGTTATGAAATATCATGACTTATATTCATATCTTATTAAAATAAATGAGTTTTTGAGTTTCAAAAATATTGCTTTGGGATATAACGGGAGGACTAGAATATATACATGGCAATGGACTAATCCACGGAAATCTTCATTGTGGAAATATCTTGATTAATGAAATTGGTATACATAATGATATAGAATTGGTTGAAGCACGTACTGCTTATGTAGGAATGCAAGAATACAAACGAAAATCTTAGATTGCTTCCTTATATAGCTCCTGAAATCTCGAAAGGTTTAACACCAACAATAGCTTCTGACATATATAGTTTGGGAAGGATCATGTTGGTTCTACCCGCTGGATTTCGCCCAAGGGTCATTTGGATACATGAACATAATACAGCAACGAAAATTTGTCTTAGGTTTTCATCCAGAAATTACTGAGGGAATTCCAATCATTTTTATTACATTAATGAAACAATGCTTGGATCCTGATCTCGAAACGTCCAACTGTATTGCAGTTAATAGATACGCTTGAAATTTGGAATCAAGTTATTTTCTGATCAATGTTAAAAATTATAATGCATATCATCGGGAAAAATTTCAATTTTTAAAAATTGGTATTCATAGTCAATACAATTTTCAAGAATTCTATACAAGTAGTTTTCCGTATTTCTTGAATCAATTAATTTATAAAATTTAATAATTTTTATTTCTTAGTGTTTATATATGGCTTTTATTCATAAATGTTACCATTGTAATAAATATTTCATTAAATATATTAAAGTTTTATTTTTAATTATCTAAAATTCACTGGATCATTGGTCAAGAATTTAGGTAGTATTACCTCATATTTTTGTAAGAAAGGTAATTGAATATTTTAGTAATTGAATTAAATGCAATTGCAATTTAACAAAAATTGTATGATTGTAATCTATTTGAAATAATAAATAAATGATAAGTAAATACAATAAAATCAATTATTAATGCTTCAGCTGGCGCTTCGTAATAGGCCTTTAAGAGAATAGAATTATCTATTTCAATCCTATCGAAAAAAACAAGGCGAAACTTCCTTTTTTTATAATTATTTTCCTTCCCGGGGCTTTGTTACGGCATTACTTAAAAATATCAATATAAATGCGGCTGAATGACGGATATGCATTTTAATTGTTCCTTGAAATCAAAAGTGGTCATTTTGACATACTTACCAGCAGTCCACTGATTCGAGTGGACAGGTACGAAATGTTAATTCCCATAAATTCGCCAGAAATGACATATTGATCGTCTGTGCCGCGCTATTTTTTAAACTGTATGTAGAATAATTGTATGAAAAAATATAAGCAAAATAGTAAATACACATATTATGTAGCCAATATTTTTCATAACGCAGGCCATCACAGAGGTGACAATTAATGTTCGGTATTTTGATTTTCGGGATTTAGTTCGGATCCTTAAAAACCATATTGTACAGTTATTTAGCGGTTTGCTGTTACTTTACTTTATGACATCATTTGAGCTGTAAAATTTGTCCTTCGCCCCATTTTGGAGGCTGTAATACTTGCACTTCGCCCTATTTATCATAAGATATAAACAATGGGGGGCTTAGCTTTTATTATAATTTTTTACGTAATATACAAATTTTCGAAGACTTTTAAGCTCATTCATTATTAATAAAATGATCAAATACTTTTGTTTAAAATGTGAATAAATTTATTAAGTAATAGAACAAATCCTTCGAACTTTTCAAGCTCTTTTATATAAAAACAATTTTAATGATTAAAAACCTTGTATTTAAAAATGGTCTTATACCATATTATATATTAGATAACTTTTTAACAAAATACTTCAAATTTTAGCTCATTAAAGGATTATTATTTTTTTTTTTAAAAAAAAAACTCTTTATGACAAATCTTATCTCCAAAATAATAATTCTTAGCATAAAAAATATAAATAAGTTTTATTTTAAATAAAAATAATACTTTAAATTTATAATTATATCTAATTTTAAAAAAACCATTATCAAATTAAATAACAAGGTTAAAAACAATATCAGATTTCTAAATAAAAAATTTGATAGGGACCCGATCAATTAATTTGGCCGACGATCATTTAGCCGAGAGGTCGACAAGTACATTTCGCCGACAATCATTATATCGACAAATATTTATTAATATTAAAAAAAAGAAAACTAAATGCAAATAAAATTTTCAATAGAAAAGTTGTTTAAAATCATTTATTATAAGCAATGACATATATAAACCCAAATACTATTTAATACATTGATTGCAAACTATTAAAATGCAATATTATGTGCAATACCCCGAAGGAAATCGTAATTCATGTGCACGATCTTTTTTCTTTGGTAAATTACGTGGTAAGCCTCTTAAAATTGATTCTATTTCAAATTGAATCTGATTTTGTTCTTTTTGAATCTCTTTGATATGTAATACACATGTTGGTGTATTTAAAATTATAAAAGTCTATGCCAGGCTTCTACAGTATTTTGAGTTCAAGGAAAAGCATATTCAATATTATCAGTAACTGACCAAAGTGAAGGTGGAAATAATGGTGCAGATCGGACTACATTTCCACTTCTTGATGTACGTCTTACTCTGCCACAAATATAATAACTTTCAAACCATTCCATGATTTCATTAGATTCTGCTAGCATATTGGTTTTTAATTCATCAAATGCTGCAGGAATATCATCAGGAGGTTAAAAGCTAATGCTGGTATATGTCGAATTAACAAACTAAAATTTTCATCTGTCCCATATTGAGTAGTGAGTACAAAAGTTTGTACTTTACGATAAACATTTTGAGCTAGGTGAAAATGACATCCTTTATTTTGAATATCTTGAAATTCTGCTTGAATAGCATTAATAGCAGCTTGTTCAAACTGTTAAAATAAATTGTGGTTGTAAATCAATATTTTGTTCTTCACTAAAATCAATTAAATCTTCAAACAATTTCTTATTACATTCTTCAGATTTGCTAGACATTAATGTATAAATAAGAGGTAAAATTCTTGAATTTCACTTCCTCCAACACATTCATAAATAGTATATAATTGTTTGAATATAGATGGAACTGTTTTAAAAGTCCTATCCATAATCCAAAAAAAAGATGTTCTAAATGCTTAATATTATCCAAAGCAATAAAAAATAGTATTCTATTATATCCTATAGTTGAATCATTAATAAGTCAGATCCATCTAAAGTTTTTTGCATATTTTCAGAAATAATAAAATCTAAAGACTGTGATTCTGGAGGAAAATCAACGCGTCGAATCTGTTTAATAGTTTGCCAGAATGCATTATGAGATAGAAGGTATTGTAAACAGATCTACAAAGTGATCTGCAAAATCGATCTACAAAAGGGATTTGCAGAATTGATCAACAGAATGATTTACAAGATTG